TAGGCGCCGAGCCAGGAATGTTTTTATTAATGTGATAGCATCTGTGTCATTGCTAAGTTATTACACCAGCCAAAGCTTAGATAATTTATTGCCCAAGTCAGTCTTTTTCCCCCTTCTTACTCTTTTCTCAGTTTTGTGTGGAAATTTAGATCAGGAGCTTTTTCCATGGAGCTTCTCAGCTTCCTTATTTCTGAGCAGAGTTATGATCTTTCCCCTGATGCTGACTGGCTTAGGGCAGTATCTGATTCTGAGTTTTGCCACTGTGCTCATTCAAAGTCACTTATTGGTAGGGAAATGAATTGAAGATCTTAGAGTGGATAAGGACAGAGGCTTCATCATTACCCACACTAGATCACAGCTGTTAGAAAATAAAGCAAAAACATTTTGTACTTGTGTTTATATTGATATTTGAATACTCAGCCTATTATTGCTTTCTTTAAAATTCTTTTTTTGTTTGTTTGGTGGTGGGAATCTCTGCTGATAAACCCATCTGGCTGTTATTTTAGTGGAGAAGTGGTCAGAAGGAGTGACACAAGAGAAGAAACCAGAATGTGTAAAAGAACCGGAAGGAAAATCTGTAGTTCCTCAACAGCCTACACGGATGGAAAAATCTACAGACACAGAGGAGGACAATATAGCTGGGCCACTATTCAGCAACAAGACCACCCAGTTCCCATCAGTTCACGCTGAGCTCCCAGAGCCTGAGCCGACAGCTGAAGCAGTTCGTGGTCCTTGTTCCAAGCCAGCCACCCCGAAGACTGCGACCCCACCCGCGTCACCATCTCCTGCAGGGGTCTCTCCAGAGTTTGCCTACGTCCCAGCTGACCCAGCTCAGTTTGCTGCTCAGATGTTAGGTAAAGTTTCGTCTACTCATTCTGATCAATCTGACGTTTTAATGGTGGATGTGGCGACCAGTATGCCTCTTATCAAGGAGGTGCTGGACTCAGAGGCTGCTGAAGATGTCCCGGTGGCCTCTCCTCATGTGTATTCTAGCGAGGTGGTAGCAAATCAGGCTTCGAGCCAAAATGCTATCCATATAGAGTTGGGTCCTAAACCTAAAGACGATGGGGCTGAACCATCAACGGCTTCCTCACTCCCCTTGCAGGATGAACAACAACCTCCTGCTTATGATCAAGCTCCTGAGGTCCCTTTGCAGGCTGATATTGAGGTTTCATCAGCTGTTCATATATCATCTATCTATAAAGATGAGCCTGTGACTGAAGGAGTGGTTTATATCCATCAAATGCCAGAACAAATAGTTATTCCCTTTACTGAACAAGTTGCTTGCCTTAAGGAAACTGAGCAGTCACCACCAGTTAGCCCCAAACCTGTAGGGTACAGGACATCCTCAGGCATGTCCAAAAAATCGGTAGAGTCTGTAAAACTTTCACAGGTGAAGGAGGATGCACGGCATGACTCCTCAGTGCACATGGAGGCAGAAGCTACAGTTCTGCTCTCTGACACTTACTTGCAAAATCTGCCTGAGGTCTCTGCACAACCCCTGGAGGCAGAGGGAACCATCCACATAAGCTCTGAAAAATCTCTGCATCTTGAAGTGGAGATCATTTCGTTACTCACTGACAAAAATGGGCAGGAGGAGGCCTGGGAAAGCTCTGCGCCCCAGGAGGTGGAGGCCAGGCCTGCGTCCTCTGGGGCAGCTGCAGAGGCAGTGCAGTCAGGTACGCGTGTAAAGCCATCCAGTAGCTCCATCCCTCCTGCTCCAGAAGGTCTCACTGCACCAGAAATTGAACCAGAAGGGGACGCAGCACCTGACGAGGTTTGATGAAGCCAGGTAAGAAAATCAGAAACTTACACAATTATAAATTGCATTTCAGATGACATCTGTTTCTCAGGTAACCATCTACGTAGGCTCCCCACAAACTGGTCAGAATCTTTAATTTCAGTAGTTCTTTTTAAAATACCAAACCTATTTAAAGGCTTTGTTGTAGTTGAGATTTTACTATTATGAGATGAGTGATTTTAAAGTGACATCCCCAAAGCTTGGCGTCAAACTTTTGTCATCTAGCACTTTTGGATATACTACGCAGCAAGCAACACTACAGCCTGTCACCAGGTACAAAATCTATTCATGTGATCTGAATATTCCTATCGCAAAACTGTAATTAGGGGGGTGTTGGTTTGAAATTTCTCACTTGTGAATGTAAAACTGAACTACAGCAATGCAATTACATAGGCTGTGGCATTTTAAAAAGTGGAAGAAATGGTGGTGTGTTTGACTGCTTTCGCACTGAGTCAGGAGAGCTCTGCAGGCAGGTCTGGGGTGCTGCACTGATTTTGTGCTAAGAGCTTCTGCAGCTGACGGAGCAGCTTCATACCTGGATGGATAAAGGAAAGGTCAGGTCAAACTTCTGTCACACAGGGGAGCAGGGAGATAGCAGCCGCAGAAGGGACAGGTAGCCCCTGAGCAGTGGGTGCAGTGCAGATGACTGGCTTTCTGCCAGCAGCTCCCCAACAAGTGCCAATGTTAATCTGCTTTCTTGGCTGCTCCTGTCACCATGTTTTCCTGTGACACAGACTTGATGTGACCTCCATCTCAGTCCTGTTATGGCATTTGGTCTGCTCACTCCCTGCCTCACACAGACACTTGCAGGGGCCCTTCCCTTTTTAGGGATAGAAGGGACATGCATGTGCCAACCCCCCATTCCTTTTGCAGAAACTCTCTCAACCTTGACTCTTACCCAAGCCAGAATGATAAAGAAGTGTACCAAAGCAGGTGTTTAGAAAAGATCAAATTGTGTCTGGCAGTGTGACAGGGATTCTGCACAGCTGAAAAGGTAGAGGGCAGTGTGGGGAGCATAGCATGTGGGCCTGGCATTATGCTTACGGCTTAAGCAGCACTTCCAGACCAAGTCACTGTTTTCAACTACTTAGCTATTTCTAAAGTAAAACAGAGTTGCGCTTAGCACTTAAAGGATATTTGACCCCTCCCCCCAAGCTCCTCAGACTGAGTTCTCAAACTCTCACTTTGCAAAAACTGAAGACTTCGTGTATACATATTTTTTAGTAAGCTTAAAAAAGGATCAGTTGAGAGTATCTGAAGTTACTGAAAACAGATCAGTTTAGTCATGTGCAGAGTGGTACTTTCTTTTCTGGGGAAGAAAAAAATTAATGCTGGACTAGGGATAGATGGCCCAGTGTTGAAAGGGGGACTCAGCACATTTTGGGCAAAGTGAAACTCTCCCGTCAGGAACCTTTTCTCCTAGTCCCATCTTCTGGGACTTGGTTCTCCAAGACAGTACTGTCTTCATTAGGCAGGTCACACTTGGCATTATAGATACCTTGGTCTAAGGAGATGGATGGCATTCCTAAACCTCTTTTTTTTTCTTAAAGAACCCCTGTGGGGCCAACCAGCCTCTTATTGCTACCTAGGATTTAGGATTTCAAGCCTTGCCTAAAAGGAGTGCTCTCTGGAGTCTGAGTCCTAGATTATGAGATGTTTTATGTTTGGTGACACATGAACGGGAGATAATAGTGCCTGTGAAGGGCCAGAGATAACAGAGATGGGACGCAGAGGACGCCTAGTGTGGACTTTAGGAAAGAGAAACCACTAGGCAGATGCATGAACCCTCTTTCCAGTGGCTTAACATACTCTTTGGTAAAGCCAGAAGTTTTTAAAATCAGATTCCTCTCTGAGGATCCTGTGTAGAAGCCATATTTGTAAGGTAAAGTAGCTGGAATCTGCAACTTGGGATGAGATTGCTGCTTTAGTCACAACTGTGGTGTCTCTGCCACTTGCTGTCACAGCACTCTCTTCATTTTCCAACTGTGGAGAATCTCACTGTTCACATTACCAAACACAATTATTTAGCCCTCTCTATAGCATGCTTTATGGCACATATTAGTTTATTTATATGTAAAAACGATTTATAAAGACATTACTGTGCATAGCGCCTGATACAGAGACCAAACCTTTAATGCCTGCAAATTTTTTTTTTTTTTATAGCAATAGCAACAAGCGAAGCAGGACAACCACCACCATATTCTAACATGTGGACCCTTTATTGTCTAACTGATATGAATCAACAGAGTCGCCCATCACCGCCACCTGCGCCTGGGCCTTTCCCCCAAGCAACCCTCTATTTATCTAATCATAAGGATCCGCAGTTTGTGCAGCATCCACCGAAAGTCACTTCTCCAACGTATGTGATGATGGACGACAGCAAGAAGACTGGTGCCCCCCCTTTTATTTTAGTAGGCTCAAACGTTCAGGAGGCACAGGAATGGAAGCCTCTCCCTGGACACACTGTTGTTTCACAGGGGGACACCTTGAAGAGATACGCTGCAGTGCAAGTGCCCATTGCTGTTCCTGCAGATCAGAAATTCCAGAAACACACCCTAAATCCCCAGAATGTTAGTCCTCCCACGAGTGGACAAGATGTCCCCAGACCACAAAGCCCTGTTTTTCTTTCACTCGCATTCCCAGTAGAAGATGTAGCCAAAAAAAGTTCAGGATCTGGTGACAAACGTACTCCCTTTGGAAGTTACGGTATTGCTGGAGAAATTACTGTGACTACTGCCCATGCTCGCAAAGCAGAAACTTAAAACTGGTAGGTAAATTTTCCTACCATAAAATGTGGGCCTTAACACACTTGAGGTTACAGCATTTTGTTGACCTGGAGATTTTTAGAAAAAATTAAATCGAGTGAACATGGAGTGAGTTGGGGGCTGCTCTGCTGTGATGTGCGTATCGTTTCCTCCTTGTTAACCACCACGACTCATGAGTGCACAGGTGCACTGCCCCGCAGGGACTCCCCAAAGGGGCTTGGTGCCCAGTATGTGAACCACAGAGCCATCAACTCAGTCCCCTTTGAACACCATGGTAGATGGCCAAAAAGGGGATGGAGTTTTAAAAGGGACAAGACAATCTAATTAGCATTTTTAAAGAGTTGGGAGGAGCAGAGACAAGCTGGGAACAAATGGAGAGTGAGGTTAAGAGAAGTGCTGGTTATTGGTTATATATGGAGCACCGAATAGTGTGGACAGGTTGGAAACACATTAAAGGGCTAAAGGGACAAATGAAATTAACTATAGGTTAAGACAGTTTTATCACTCACTTGTCATTTGTAAATTTTTCATTCAACCAGTAAAATGCCAAGCCCTATGCTAGCCCTTCCTCCCTGTGTGGACAGTAGAGTGAGCAAACATGGAACCTATACCTTAGTGGGGAAGGGCAGCCAAAAATTACACTATGGTATGTGAAGTATTATGGAAGTAAAGTACTGATACAGTCCCTCTTTTAATAATCACTGTTAAATAGTGTACTCTGGCCGGGATGCAAATGGACACCTGAGCAGGAAGAGCTGACCATGACCTTGGGCAAGAAAGGGGTGGGGGCTGAGAGAGTGCAAAAGCAGGCCATGGAGGGCACTCTGCACACCAAAGACAGATTGGGGTTGAAAATTCAGTGGGAAGTCAGCACCAGTGTTTGTTTTAAGCAGAAGAATGGTAGTGTTTTTATTAGACCCCTGGCTCCTATGCCTTAAATACCAACAAATTCAGTTAAAACAATTTGTAAGCTGATCAGAGAGATGGAAAAAAACTAGACTTCACTCATAGGCAGGGTCCACTACTTTTAAAAGGAAAGACAACTGTAAAATATCTCAGGGCTATGGTCTTTCGGTGGAATTGTCAAAATGGCTGTTTTCAGCATGAATTAACTAAGAGCCTGGTAATAGAGCAGGAGGGTAATACTTTGCATTTCTGATCTTCCACTCAATTCACATGTTCAGTTTAATGATTAAACAATTCGATGTTTACATTATTTCTAACAGATGCTGAAAATGACGCTGTTTGATTCAACATTCAAGGTGGAGTTGGCCACCAAGCGCAATATATCAATAAACTTAACGCAAGCAATAAAACCCTGTACTGCTTATTTTTATAAGTTAGGAGGTATACAAACAACCAAATACAAAGACCTTAAATTATTTGAGATTTGTGAAGCAACAGAATTTCCAACTCTTCCGGGTATTCAAACTTGATAATTCTGTATTTGGCACTCAGGCCAAATGAACACAGCAGCACCCTCTCATACTGTATCCGCACACTTCACTGTGCACGCCAGGGAGCGGGTTAGCTCCTAGGCCCTGGAGACTGTGGCACCCATAAGATTTCTTGGAAAAGACATTTGTAATAATTTATTGTATTTGAAATTTTAAAAGAAACCACACTTTTGGGAACATTCTAAAGCCTTTATTTAGCATCAGGTAGATTATTATTTCAGTATAACACTTGTTAACTTCAAGACAGCAATTAAAATAATTTACTGGCAACTACCTAAGGCCCCTTGGAGCAATATCCTCAGCCTGGGGTTGGGGTGGATAAATACTATAAGATCAGTGTACCCCAATTAAAGGGGCAAAGCTACTGTACAGTAGGTCTCCATACATATTTTAAGTACACAGGTGCCTTGCAAACTTGAAATGCACAAGACCACCTTTTATATAATTTGATACTTATAATACATGAGTGCAACTTAATTTCTCTAGTGGTATTGGCCACTGGAATTTGAAGCATTTAAAAAGGTTTGTCATCATGTAATTGTGATTAAAACATGTATTTTAGGGCATTTTGAATTATTAGATTTTACACATTTTCAGTTCAAATGCACAATTTAAACCTATTTTAACTAATGACATTGATTACAGAAAATTGTAAAGGTACGTTTAGAGCACTAAAAATACTTTTTCCAGTTTAATTCTTTAGAATTGTCAAATCAGAAATACCTATTCTGAATATTCAGGCTTATTTTCTTTTTGGAGATTGGAAGGGATAAAATTGAGAGGATTAGAATGAACAAAAGCCATCTTACCACTTGAGTCTTACAAAATGACATCACCTCTACATTTGAGCACATAAACATTGTACAGGAGAACTCTAATCATTTCCAAGTTACATCTAAACATTCAAGCATGACAGCATAAAAATATTCAAAATAACTTGATTTGGTATTACTATATAATTCCATAAAGCTAAAGTTACATTTAGGTATAAACCCTCAGTAAATATGGCAACAGCAACCATAAAAAGCATATTCTCCAGCAGTTCTTCTTACCTCTATATAAAATAGTATTCCAAATAAGTACATTTCATAGCAAAATTATGCATTTTTCTAAGACTTTCATCAGTATCACCTATGCCTTACTTTTGTTGGGTGAAATGCAAGTTATCTCATGAATGGGTTTTTTTCATTTTTAAAAGATGAGTAGAAACCAAGGGAAAAAATTTAAAAACATAGGTTTAAGACTTATTTGTAGATTAAACACCCTGACTCGTCTGCATTTTAATAAATATCAGGCAAATTGAAGTAGTTTCTGTCCCAGTAGCTGCCAGAGTAAATCCAGTCCTGTGCTCCATTGTGGGGATTGGGACCTTGATGGAACCACCTGTTTAATGAGAAAGGACCAGATTAACAAAATGACAGGGCATCTGCTTCCTCACTAGCTCACAGCATTGCCCTACTGCAGCACCACAGGACTTAGTGATTTCCAAAGAGACCCTGAGTAAGTGGTGCTGTTTTTCCTCTTAAAGAGCATCTCTGTAAAACAATGCCCTGAACGGGTTTCCTACAGCACTTAGCAGTGCTACTTGACAGAAGCAGGGTCTTCTAAAAGGCCTGTGAGAAACAATGTCTACCCGGTTCCCCTTCTAGCCCCCTCCTCATCCTTCACTAGGAGGCATTCTTTAAACAGCTACTGTGTTTCCCCCAAAATAAGACAGTCTTTTTTTTTTTTTTTTTGAGACGGAGCCTCAAGCTGTCCCCCTGGGTAGAGTGCCATGGCATCACGCTCACAGCAACCTCAAGCGAGTCTCCTGCCTCAGCCTCCCAAGTAGCTGGGACTACAGGCACCTACCACAATGCCCAGCTATTTTTTGGTTGCAGCTGTCATTTTTGTTTGGTGGGCCCGGGCTGGATTCGAACCCGCCAGCTCAGGCATATGTGGCTGGCGCCTTAGCCACTTGAGCCACAGGCGCCGAGCCAAGACACTGTCTTATATTTATTTTTTCTCAAGAAGACACACTAGGGCTTATTTTCAGGGGATGTCTTCCTCTCAGTGCTGAAACGCGTGGTGTGGCTATGCAGCGTATCTGCACATGATACGCTGCATAGCCACATCCATCACTAGGTCTTATTATTGAGGTAGCGCTTATATTTAACAAATGGATAGAAATCCTGCTAGGGCTTAGTTTTTGGGTAGGTCTTATTTTCGGGGAAACACCGTAGGAATAAGGAAATTTACTTTTAGAACAATATGTAAAGTTTAAAGTAAATGCCCTCTGAACTTTTTTTAATTAAATGATAGCTGTATACATTAATGCAAACATGGGGTACAGTGTAGTGTTTTCATATACAATTTGAAATATTTTCATCAAACTGGCTAATATAGACTTTGTGTCATTTACTTAGTTATTGTGTTAAAACATTTATACTCTAGTTCTAGAAAAGTTCATCTGTACCCCTGTTAGACAGACCATATAGGTGATCTTTCCAGTCACCCTCCCACCACCTGGCTGCCCTTCTCCCCTCCCCTCCTCCACCCTTTCCCCATAGTCTTGGGCTAGAATTAGGTTGTAGCTTTTATTTGAGAACTATAAATTAGTTTCATAATAGGGCTGTGTACACTGGATACTTTTTCTTCTATTCTTGTGATACTTTGCTAAGAAGAACACTTTCTAGTTCCATCCATGTAAACATGAAGGAAGTAAAGTCTCCATTTTTCTTTAGGGCTGCATAGTATTCCATGGTGTACATATACTACAGTTTATTGATCCATTCACAATGCCCTCTAACCTTAAAGCTCCATTTTACAGCTGAGGAACTCAATGTTGGGGACAATTAAAGAACTTGCCCAAGCTAGTGACTGATAATAAACTTAGATTTAATTTTAAAGACCATGATTTTTCTAATCACTAAACTACACACAATCTACTGAAATTACATCTTCTGGGTCTCAAGTTCCTCTCAACACTAGTATGGCTTCCTGGGCCGCAGTTAGCATCTAAGAACGTACCCTGGCCTATTCTAACGCTGAAAAGGGCTGCTCTAATCATTTTCTTGCACTTTGAAAAACATGTCATTTATTTTCCACAGTACCAGCTTTCTTTAGGTAATGGAAATGTAAAATTACTTGCTCAAAAGATTCACAATTAAATCTGTGTAACATTTTCTAAATATGATTTAGTTTTCAGAGGAACGTTTATGGAAATAGTTTATATACCTCCGAATAAATTGTTTCTAAAAATATTCAGCCATTCCAGGCAGCAAAACAAAATTAGACAAATGAGATGATATTAAAATGCTTCTGCCCAGCAAAGAAAACAGGTGAGGAGACAACGGTTGGATGGGAGAAAACATCTGCCAACTCTCCCTCTAACAAGGGACTGGTAGGCAGAAGAAACCACTTAAAACAACTCAACAGCAAAAAAGCTCAAATTATCCCACAAAAAGGCAAAGGACAGGAATAGACATTTCTCAAAAGACATACAAATAGCCAATAGGCACGTGAAAAATCGCTCAATATCACTAATCACTGGGGAAATACAAATAAAGACTAAAATGCGGTATCAGCCCTGTTAGAAGGGCAGATGCTGGTGAGGATGTGGAGAAAGGGAACTCTGATCACACTGTTGGTAGAAATATAAATTAGTACATTTGCTATGGAGAACAGTACGGAGATTTCTCAGAAGATTAAAAACAGAACTATAACCCAGCACTATATGGGATAGTGGGATAAATTCCCACTACTGGGTACTTATCCAAAGGAGAGGAAGTCAGTTTATCAAAGGGACACCTGCACCCCCAGGCTCATTGCAGCACTATTCACAAGCACAAGGAATGGAATCAATCTCAGTGTCCACCGCTGGGTGAATGGATAAATAAAATGTAGTGTATAAACCCAGCAGAATACTAACTTGGACATAAAAAGGAATGAAATCCTGTTATTTGCAGCAATATGGACGGAACTGAACACCATTACGTTAAGTGAAATAAGGCAGGCACCACATGTTCTCCCTCACATGTGGAAGCTATTTACTAAAAAAGTTGATCTCCTGGATCCATGATGGTTCCAAAGGCTAGGAAGGGGGTGTGGGAGGGATGAAGAGAGGCTGGGCTATGGGCATAAACTTATAGTTAAATAAAAGGATAAGAGCTAATGTCTGACGGTAAAAGTCTAACAACAATGTGTTATATATTTCAAAATCATTAGAGAGAGAAATTGAAATGTTCCCAACACATAGAAATGATAAACACTGAGGTGATGGATATCCTGATGCCCTGACTTGATCAATCAACATTCTGCGCATGTACAAAATACCACCTGCACATCATAAAAATTTACAAATATAAAGTAGCAACAGAATTTTTAAAAAGTATTTAGCTAGTAAGACTGAGGGTAGATTTGTTTGGTAGCCTCCAAAATTCTTAGTATCACAACAGCAACAATAAAAACCCTAAGAGAGGAAAAAAAAAGTTTTATATTAAGGTAATTTCTTGAAGGATCATATAGCAAATGCCCATTGGACTAAGTGTTCTAGAAAACTAGGCTGGGCACAGTGACCCACGCCTGTAATCCTAGCACTCTGGGAGGCCGAGGCAGGTGGATTGCTTGAGCTTAGGAGTTTGAGACCAGCCTGAGCAAGGAGACCCCGTGGGCACTGTGGTGGACACCTGTAGTCCCCATTTCTCAAGAGGCTGAGGTGAGAGGAGGGCTTGAGCCCAAAAGTATGAGGTTGCTGTGAGCTATGATGCCACAGTATTCTACCCAGGACATCAGAGTGAGACTCTGTCTCAAAAACAAAAATAAAAACAAAACTATAACATAAACTATTTAGCTTTGGGGACTTTTTTCTAATTAGAAATTTAGAAGTTTAGGTTTAATGATCAAAATATGAGTTATTCAGACTTTGGATACACCACAAATTCTCAGGAACCATAACTGAGTCTCAGTCACAGCATTTGTGTTTAACGTGAAGTACACAGTTATTATTCTCCTTTGGGTTTCAAAAGTCCAAGCAGTAAAATTACTTTTGTAGTCAGCCTTAGCAAACTTAGGCACTTCAGAAAAGCAGGCAAATCAAAATCAAGGTAATCAAATAATTTTAAATGTTAATGAAGCCTCAGGGCCTGGGGCCGACAGATTTCTTCCTTACAAAATGGAGAGGAGAGAGAGACAAAAGTCCAAGTTGTGATGAGAAATGTCCAGAATGATATATTTAACAGCAAAGGATGTTCTTCTTTACATGTGAGCTTCTAAAAACAGTTCTCTAAAGACTCTGTCTGCTACTCTACCTTCGGGGATCACCTGTTCTTGGTGACAGCTGAGTAAAGATGTGTAATGATCTGATGCAAGGGATTAGGGTTTCTCTCCACTCCCAGGTCCTCTAAATCAGAACACTCACGTCTGCAAACTTCTCAGCTGCTATCACCCCTGCTCCCTTGCCCCACAGAAAAATCCAATTAGTTTGTGTTTTAAAATTTTCAAAGATTTTAGCACAACGTGGGCAATAGGAAAGAGGGAAAGATTTGTTAGCGTCTCTTCAATATTTCAAGTCTACAGAATCCACAGGTCTCTTATCAGTAAAATAATTTTTTTTTTTTTTTTTTTTTT